CTGCCCGCGCAGTGCCCCAGGGACCGGCTGCGCCGGGCGCGCGCCCAGGCGCCGCAAAGGGCCGCTGCGCCGCTCACTTCCCATCTGATGTTTTGAAATCTAGACTCAGGCTTGAGGATCAAAGACTCCATAAGAAAGAAAGGGACAGGTGTACTTTCTCGGTGAGAGGCGCTGCTAGAGAGACGGTAAGCCAGAGAACAAGGGAAGCCTGGAAGCCTGAGAGAGTTGCCAACAGACAGGAGACGTTAGGGGTCAAGGGCGAGAGAAGAGGAATTGAGTGTGGGCATTGGCGTTGACTTGTTTCATTGCGCCTGACGGGCAAGACTCTTAACGTAGGAGTACTTGTTGCACTCTCAGAAATGAGAAGAGAGGTTCAGTGAGGTTTTAGAATTTGCCCAAGTCACACTGGCAGGTGCTGGTCGGAGACTCCTGAAGCTGGCATTTCCTTGTGGTGAATGCTGTGTGTTGGGAGGGAGGGGAGACAGGAGTGGAGATGGGCGCTGGTATTTAGTGTCTCACCTCGGAGCCAAGGACATTAGCTCTTTGTGGAAAGAGCTGCTTCGTTCTGTCTGTTCTCACCCAACCTGAGGCTGGGCTTCTGGCTATAGATAAAGCCCTTCTAGAAGCTAGGGGATGGGGCGAGCCCTCAGCTTGGGGATGCCCAGCAGATCTGGGAGAAGCAGGAAGCTGCCCACAAGCAGGTATCTCTGCACCCAAAAACTCCAGAGAGAAGGCATGGGCTGGAGCCAGAGCTGGGGCCAAGCTAGGGACCAAGTATGAGGCTTGAGGGCAGGCTTTGGAACGGGGCTGGAGCAGGGACAGGGTGGGCAGAGCCAGGGACTGAAGCTCACTGTGGACGTACTCTAGCCCCCAGTCCCTGCCTCCTCACCCGGGATACACTGCACGCAGCTTGGCTCTTCTCAGACGCCACTTCTGCTTCTGATCACAGGCTGCACAAGACACTGATTTAAGGATGCAGCACCTGCTCTGGAATCAGACACATGTACATCCAGGGCCCCCTCTTCCCCTTACCTGCCCTGTTGCCTTGGGCAAGTCACTCAACCTCTCTCAGCTGTCATTTCTTCTCCAAAAACTTGGGGTCATAAATGCCTGGCTTGTAGGGCTGTTGTGATCATTAAATGAGACAATATCTCTGGAGTGCTTAGCAGAGCACTCAGCTCATAGCAAGGTGCTCAATAGGTGGGAGCTGCTAAGTGCTTGCCACCATCACCATCAGCATCTTCATCCCTGGGTGGGCTGGGCTCTGCCCCCTGATACCAGCACTCCTCCCCAGGGACAGAGCTGCCCAGCCCCCCATCTGTGTGGTTTGAAGCAGAGTTTTTCCACCACATCCTCCACTGGACGCCCATCCAGAATCAGTCTGAAAGTACCTACTATGAAGTGCAGCTCCTACGGTAAGGAAGAGGGAGGCAGGAGGGAGGTACAGGAGGGAGTCAGCACAGAAAGATACCTGCCTTGTTACTGCAGTGACACAGGAAGGACCCTGGCACATGCCCATCCTTTGGCAGGTAGACTGAGTCTCAAATGTGCTGAGCCGGCTTCTGGGAGCTCTGGGGTGAGAAAGCCACAGTATTGCCTTTACTCTCAAGATTTTTCTCTTATTGGAAAAACAGGAAGAGCACTCACAATATGGTTAAAAACAAGGAAACCCTAATGACTGCAAATAGAGTTGGGAGAAGGGAGAAATTAGGCTGTGTTGCAGGGAGTAGCAAATCTTCCTAGAGGAGCTGGGACTTGGGCCCCTCATATTTCACTTTAAGAGTCTTTTAGGCCACAGAGGAATTGGCACAGGCTCCCAGAACCAGGCAGAGCTCCTTGCCTTTAGAGGCCCTGAACTAAAGGACATACCTTGAGGGCTCTACCATCACAGCAGCTCTCTTGGCCCCTTGCTTCCCTCTCAAAGGAGACAGGTTTGAACAAAAGTGTGAATCAGTGCCTATCCTGCTATCCCCAGGTACGGGATAGGGCCCTGGACGCCCATCTCCAGCTGTAGCCAGACCCTGATGCTGTCCTGTGACCTCACCATGGTGACCCTGGACCTGTACCACAGCAATGGCTACCGAGCCAAAGTCCGGGCTGTGGACAGAGGCCAGCACTCCAACTGGACTGTCACCAACACTCGCTTCACCAAGGACGAAGGTGCTCTTCCTCCACTGGGCCTAGGACATGGCTTTGGGGGTCCCTTCCAGCCAGACCTCGAGTCTGGAGCTGACCTCTATGTTCCCGTAGCTCATCAGCCTGGCTCCCTGACTGGGGACCTAGTTGCTCAAACAAGTCTGAGTCAGGACTTTGGATGAGGTTTAGATGAAAACAGTCAAGCTGTTCAGGATTTAAAAGGGAACTGGAGTTGTTTATCCTACAGAGAAGTCTCAGGGAGAACCGGGCAGCCTGTGCACTTAGCCGGCTCTGGAGAGGAAGTGAATCCGTAAGCGTTCAGCACAGGGAAGCAGGCATCAGGCAGAAATGGACCAGCCCCTGCCCCGCCCACTGGGGATGGACTCCCAGGGGTCAGGGTGTGAGGCTTTGAAGTGGAGAGGTACCACTGGGGAAGAGTTGGGAGTCTCTCTTGGCAGAGACAGGAGGAAAGGACAAGCCTCTACTCAGTGGGCTTCTTCCCCTCCGCAGAAGGGGATCCACAGTGCTCTGTACATGTGACAAACCTGCCCTGCGGAACTCAGAATCAGGACTAATGGTCTAGGATGGTCACGGTCATTGTCTCCCAAATGCCTGTCTGCGGGCCAGTGCTCAGCTGGCTGTAGAGACATTACCTGGGGAGTGTGTTTACGATATGGGATGTTTCCAGGGCCCACCTTCATCAGTCAAGCAGGCCCCGGGCATCTGTCATTTTAACAGGCTCCCCAGGAAGTCCTCAAGGTCTGCTAGGTAGGAAAAGCCTGTGGCCCAGGTTTTAGAATGGGTAAAGCTTGACCCTGGAGGCCAGGCAGGGGTGGGAGCCTAGCCCTCCCCAGCCCGCAGGCCTCATGGCTGCGCCTCCCTGCTCAGTGAATTTGACAGTTGGCAGCGTGGAGCTCGAGATACGTGATGGCATCGTCCTTGGAAAGATAAAGCCACCCCGGCCCAAGGTGGCCCCTGCAGGCGAAACGTACGAAAGCATCTTCCCACACTTCCGAGAATATGAGATTGCAATTCGCAAGGTGCCAGGACACTATAAGGTATGAGATTCCCAAGGCTGCAGGACCTGGGTCCCCTCTCCCCTCACTCCCCCTTCCCTTGCCACCCCCCCCCTTGTGCTGGCAGAGGGAGGTCATAGGGGCAGAAAAGGGACTTGAGATGACCTCAGTCCTCAAGCTGGTGCTCCTGCCAGGTGGCAGGGGAGACACTACCTACCAGGTGTCAAGCACCACACAAGACATTCTGTAACCATTGTTTCCTGCCCCTTGAAGGTGGGTATTTCATCCCATTGTATAGTGGAGAAATGAGACACCAGGGCCTGTGCAGTTGCCCAAGGACACCCCTGTAAGTAGGAGACCTGGAATCTGCAAAATCCACCCTCTTTCCCTTCCACCGCAGTAGAGCCCAGCCCTTCTGGGAAGGTCCTCAGCATCTATACAGCACACCCTTTTCTCTATAATACAAAATAAGTCATGGTGACCGCCCTGGCCAGTGTGGCTCAGAATTAGAGCATGGGCTGCACACTGAAAGGACATGGGTTCGATTCCCGGTTAAGGGCATGGGCCTGGGTTGCAGGTTTGATCCCCAGCCCTGGTCAGAGCATGTGTGGGAGGCAACCAATTGATGTGTCCCCCTCACGTTGATGTTTCTCTCCCCCCGCCCCAGCCCCTCTCTTCCACTCTCTCAAAAAATCATGGAAAAAAGATCCTCAGGTGAGAATTAACAAACATAATAATAGTCATGGTAACCACAGAGATCGTGGGCTGTGTCAATAATCCAGGGCTTGTTATCTTAGAAAAACGACCACAGGGATTGGCCTCCATCATCTCTAAAGGCCCCCCTGCTCTCGCCCTCCATGCGTCGTGAGCAGGGGTGTTTTGCTTATGGCCGTTGTTTTCGTTTCAGCTCACAAACAAGAGGGTAGCACATGAAAACTTCAGCTTCCCGAGCCCTGGAGAGGTGGGAGAGTTCTGTGTCAAGGTGAAACCGGCCGTGTCATCCCTAACGAACAAGGGGCTGTGGTCGGAGGAGGCGTGCTTCATGCTCACCTGGCATTGTGAGTGGGTCGGGCCGTAGTCCAGCGGGCAGGCAGGAGGCAGGACAGCCACGCACAGTCCGGAAGGCTGCTGATGTGGCTGTGCTGGGCCTGCCCCCCGTGGCTCTCCGTGCCCTGTCACAGATACCCTGTGGTCCCCATTTAGAGGTGAGGAAGCGAGGCTCAGTGACCATGACCTGTGTCCCAGGGCTTGGTGGTAGAGCCAGGTCTCCTGATGTTGTGGCTGCCGGCTTCCTCTTGAGCACAGTGGGGCTTCCCAGAGCCCCAGGCACCCTCGGTCAGCTGGGGCAGTTCCTGCTTGTTAGAGTCCTCTGCTGTCCTCTCTGAGAGCTGGGGCACTAAGGGCCTTCTCCTTACCTCCCTGTCCCTCAGAGGAAACAGGACTGAGCTGACTCCATGCCACAGCTGCTCAGGCCAATAGGTACCACACCAGGTCCTCAGCCGGGCACTAGGAAGGGGGGATTTAGGATGTGAAGACCATGGTCCTGCCTGAGGATCTTACAGTCTAGCTGGGGGGTCAGGGTGTACGCAGAGGAAGCTGTGACTAACAGCTCAGGACAGCACAAGCCAAGTGCCCAATGAATCACACTAGCAGTGTGCTGGGGTGCCCAGTCCAAAGTGGGCAGGTCCAGGAAAGACCACAGTGAGTCGAATCCTCACAGTTTCACACCTCAGTTCTTGAAGGGCACTCACAAAATCACTGCCCCGTGAGCCTCCCTCTCATTCAGCAGAGTCAGGCACCGTCTGTCAGGCAGCCTTAGAGCTTTCTTTACATCCACTCACTGATGTACAAAATAGCTTTGTGTAGAGGTCTGGGTTCAAATCCCTGCTTTCCCACATATGAGGTATATGACCTTGGGTAAGTAACTTAACCTCTCTGGACCTCAAGACCCTAATCTATACAATAGGGGTGATAATAGTGTTTCTCTCCTGAAACACTATTGTGTTTGTTATAAGGGTCAGATGACACAGGTAAAGGTGGGTGGTAAGTGCTATGTACTTCACAGCCATCCTAAGCAGTAAGCGCCATTATTTTCCCATGTTATAGATGAGGAAACAGGCTCAGAGAGGCTGAGTAATCTGTTCACAGCCTCACAGCTAGTAAGTGGTGAGGCTGAGACTTGAACCCAGGTCTGGCTGCCAAATGCCCTGTGCTTACCTGCTATCCCAGCCCAGCTCTCTGCTGTGTGCTGTGGGGTGAGTGCAGAGAGCTGGCAGCAGAGCCTACTGAGGAAATCCTTCAGGGCCTGAGTCGGGGGCCAGGCAGGGGTTCCCCGGAACCCAGACACGTCTAGAGTTGTGGTCTACAGGTAGCCTGTGGCGGTGGGGGTCACCTGGGCCACGCACCAAGTGACCGTAGGATCCCCAAAGACTGCCCCTCCGTGTCCCATGGGGCGCGGCCACAAACGTCTCTCCCTGTGCTTACAGACTTCACCGTGACCAACCTCAGCATCTTTTGCATCCTCGTGGTGCTGCTGTGCGGGGCCCTGGCCTACTCCCTGACCCTCCAGCTGTACGTGCGGCGCCCCAGGAAGCTGCCTGCCGTCCTGGTGAGTCACAGGGGAGACCACTGCCTGCCCTTCCCAACCACACCTGGACTGTAGACAACAGGTGCTCAATCTGACAGTCCCTTCCCTCAGCCTTGACATGATCAGAGGGCACCTTCTTCAAGCACAGTGAGGGTGGCAGGAGAACTGGGCGTGGGAGCCCAGTGCTGAGAACGTTGCTTCTAGTGGCCCAGACAACATGCATACTGAGTGGTCCCAACCCCAAACGTCATTTTGTTCCAATTTAGCTAATAATTGGCCATGGACTGGGCCCTGAGCATTAGCGCCTCGGAGGGAGAGGGTGCCAAAAGGCTGGAAGCGCTGGCCTGGGCTGCCCTCAGCGTGGAGAGTGGGGTGGATTGGCTAGAGGCAAGAGGAGGGGTTTACGAGGGATGCTAGGGTTCTGTACTCCTCGAGTGTCTCCTCTTCCTACCAGTGCTGACAAATGCTGCACTTGAGGTAAGCCGGCCTGCGAAACTCAACTTGTAGTGTTGAGCAGTATTTCCAGACCTCAGCCTGTCTCTGGCCTGGGACTCAGCTTGCCCTCCATGGCCCCCACAGCTGGCTCATGGCTGGAAGGGGACCCTCCAGAGGGATTCCGGGGTCTCTGGGAAAAACTAGGAAAGAGACAAAGATCCTCTGAAATTATTCTGAGTAAGAACTTCAGGAGGCAGGGAGGGGGGGACAGAAGAGGCGCAGGACGGCCTGGCCTCACTAGGGTCTTTATCCAGGCAAAAAAGAGCTCTGTGCTTACCTGTAGGACCCTGGGTGGAGAGATATGACAAGGAGACAGGAGCAGGCAGCCCCTGCAGCTTTAGGGGCTTCTGAAGTGCCTCTCTGCATCTGGCTGAAGTGCATAGCTCGCTGTCCTTTTTCTGTGTTCTGGGCGGATTTGGGTCCACAGACATGTGCGTCCGCCTGTTTGACAAGTACTACAAGCAGATTCTCCGTGCAGGGCCCAGAGCTGGGGTGGGGCAATATAGAGATGAGTGCAGCAGGGGGCCTGCCTCAGGACAGATACTAGGAAGCAGTGGGGTGGGGAGGGTGCTCCTGGAGCACTGGGTGGGATATTGTCAGGCACCAGGAAAAGCACCGAGGTGGAATGCAAGGCTGGCTCCACTGAGCTGCAGTTACTGAGCACCGACAACACGTGCACTCCTGTGACCCCGGGTGCCAAGGGGCTTGATTACGGCTGGTGGGGTGGCCAATGTATAAACTGGTAACTTCGATGCAAACCAGTGAAACAGACGTAGATGCCAAAACGCCAAAGGAAATGACAGGCAAGCCCCAGCCTCCTGCTGCTCCTGCACGTTTGGATGGCACACCTGAGTTGTCCCTGAAGCTCTTCCTCCTCCAGACAAATCCAGCCCAGTTCCTTCATCCCACAGCCATGCTCATCACTAACTTTACGAGTAACTTTTAGTGAGCAGAGCACTTTCACATTCCTTAGCTTGTTCTCACTCATTGGCTGCCTTGATCTGATCTTTCAACAATATATCAATGTAAGTGTTATTGGACAAGGGGAGATTTCAAATCAGGACAGTTGCATACAAATTCCAGGTTTGTTCTTTGCTGCTGTGTGACTTTGGACAAATCACTTAACTTCTCTGAAGTTTCATTTTCTCCTGTAGGAAATATAGATAATAATACTTCCTTAGAGAATTATTGGAGAGTGAAATTCAATTCACGAAACATTTATTGAGTGCTTTTTATGTACCAAGCACTGTTCTAAGCACTTCACATGCATTACCCGCAACATGAGGAGGCAGGTACTGTCATTATTTCCATTTTATAGGTGAGGGACTGAAGCACCAGGAAGGGAAATTAATTTGGCCAAAGTGACACAGCTAAGAGGCAGAGCTGGAATCTGAACCCATGAAGTCTGGCTCCATAATATACATCTTTAATTACCAAGCTATGTAATATTAATAGGAACTCAACCAGTAAGAGTTGCATTCGAGTTATCTCGTACAAAAGGATTGAGGGCAGATATGCAGTCATCAGTCAACAAACATGAATATCTGCTACAAAACTCAGTTTAAGCCTTGGGAGCAGAGTGGCAAACAAGACTGGGTAGCAGCTGCCCTCAAGGAGTTTGTATTCTATTGGGAGTGGGAAATGATTGCATGTGTATGTGCGTGTTGGTGGGGGTGAGGGTGATGGTGGGAGTGGGGGCGTGAATGAAAACAAAACATAATTTGAGAAACTAAGAAGCTAAGTAAACTAGGTCAGTGTGGGGAGAGTGTCTGGGTGATCAGGAGGGCCTCTCTGAGGAGGTGACATCTGAGCTGAGACCTGCACAACACAACCATACAAAGCCCTGAAAAAAGAGTATTCCAACCAGAACGAGTATAGCATGTGCAAAGGCCCTGAGACAGCACTGTGCGGATGTGTTCCTGGGCAGAAAGAACAGCACTGTGCCTCAGGCAGAAGGGCCAGCGTTAAGTGGTTTCCTTGGCGTCCTCAGCAATTAGTGTCCTCCTCAGCTGCTAGTCTGTGCTTGTTCCACTGCCCCACACTGCAGCCACCCTATGTTTGTGCGAGTCACAACTCAGGGAGTAGATAAATTAATTTGGTGTCTCACTCGAGCATTTTAGAAACGAACGAATAGGGTGGAATAGAGTAGGATGGATCACAGTGCACAGGTAGTAATAAATATTTTGGGAAACTGGTTTTAGACCCATGTGAGTTATAGATTTATGGGCTACTTGTATACGGGTTGTTATGTAACATGTTTCTTATTTTGGGTCATAGTCTAAAGAGTTCGGAACACGCTTTTAGATCTAGATGGTCCCGCCTGTGCCCAGGTTCGAGAAGCGCGGCCCCTGGGAACGTTCGCCGCCCCCATCCCGCCGTCGTGCCTGCTGGGCTTCGGGATAGCGGCGTCTCTGTACTCGGTGCTGAGCTGAGAATTTCTTTAGGAGGAAAACTCAGTTCTGAAGTGAGACAAAAGGAACAAGTGGCAGTGTGCTCAGGCCCTGCGTCCCCTTCTGGAGCAGTGCCTCCTCCAGCTCCCTTTACGGACGACCCTCGGCCTCCCCGGCAGCACGGGGTGGGCTCCCGCAGCTGACCCCTGCCTTCCCCACCCCTGCCCTCTCTCCCCAGGTCTTCGGGAGGCCCAGCCCCTTCAGCCTCTTCGGCCAGCTTCCCGGCCTAGAGACCCTAGACTCCATCTGTGCCCTCAGCGAGGAGGCCTTGCCCAAGGTGTCCGCAGGGCTGAGGAACTCGGAGCTGCATGGCAGCACGGACAGCGGCTTCGGCAGTGCCAAGCCATCGCTGCAGACTGAGGAGCCCCAGTTCCTTCTCCCCGCCCTGCACCCCCCGTGCGGGGGCACGCTGGGAAAGGGGGCCTCCCTGGAGCTGGAGAGCAGCGGCAGCAGCGGCAGCAGCGACAGCGGCATCTGCCTGCAGGAGCCCAGCCTCAGTCCCCGCTCGGCACCCAGCTGGGAGCCGCCGGTGGGCACCCGTGGCCAGGGCCAGGATGACAGTGGCATCGGCCTCATCCACGGCTCTGAAGGGCAGCCTGGGGATACACAGGATGGCTCAGCCTTGGGCCGTGTCAGCCCCTTGGGGCATGAGATGACTGAGGAAGAAGGCCCGGCTGCGGTGGCATTTCAGGGCTACCTGCAGCAGACCAGAGGCACGGAGGAGAAGGCAGCCGAGGCAGGCTGCCTGGAAGAAGAGTCCTCCTCAACAGGTGGCCTCGACCCCCAACTCGGGGTGTGCCTGGATGCCGAGGAAGCCTGGCCTCCACCAGTCCTGGTCAAGGGCTATTTGAAACAGGATCCCCCAGAAGTGACTCTCACTCCCTCAGGGGCCCCAGCTGGACAGGGGAACCCCCAAACTGAAGAATGGTCACTCCTGGGCTTGGCCAGCTATGGTGACCTAGGAACATCTGACTGGAGCTTTGCCCATGATCTTGCCCCTCTGGACTGTGTGGCAGCCCCGGGCAGTCTCCTGGGCAGTTTTGACTCAGACCTGGTCATCCTGCCACTGATCTCCAGTCTGCACTCCAGTGAGTGACTCAGGCTAAGGAGCTGCTGTGGACATCAGCCATGTCCTGCCTGGACTAGGAGGAGGGCGCCAGGATCAGAAGTGAAGCACGATGCCAGTCTGGGCACTCTTCTACAAGGCCAGGGTCCAGCAGTGCTGGCTCGGGTGCTGGGCAGGGTGTGGGGGGCCCGTTCTATGCATGCGCCCTGCAGACTCAGGCAGAACTGAGCAGGGCAGGGCAAAGCCTGCCTCCCTTAGGACTCTGCCTGTGTGAAAAGCATTGTTTTCTCAGGGAATCATGGAGTTTTCTGGAGTTGAGGCAAGGCTGCCAGGCCTCCCCCTTAAACCAACCTTGTGTCAGGGCCTCACAGCAGGGGCCATTTGTAGGGGGAAAGGAGGGAACAATGACCAAGTGTGATCTCGGGGTGGTCAGCTGACCACCAACTGGCCTGGACTGGTACATGGAGAAGCCCCCTCACCAGCAGGCCTCCCAGGGAGGGAGCTTGTCACGGAAGCTCTTACGATGTGTCTGGCCGGCCAGTCAGTCAACTATCATTATGGACCCACAGGGGGATAAAAGGAGCTGAGACCCAAAAGGGGGCTCCTAGCTCAGAGCCCATCCTCTGGGGATGTCTCAAGTCCATATGCAGACATTTCCCGCTTTTCAGCAAAGAGAGCAGCAGCCCCCTGGGGTTCCTGCTGTGGCCAAGCCCCTCCTGGCCCCACCTGGTGCCCCATCATTTGCTGACAGTACCAGAGAAACCATGGTGTTTTCATTGGTCAGAACTCAACCCTCAGGCAGCCTCTGGGTTTGGGCACCGGCTGGTCTGCCCAGAGGCTCAGGGCTGGGACCTGCCCCTGCGTGTGCTGCTGTCCATGCTGGACGTTAGCGAAGCTGCCCCAGGCCGGGAGGAAGGACACTGCGGCTGTGTCTACACAGAGCTAGCTGCTTTCTCATGCTGAGACCACCCGAAGGAGCGAAGTCCATGGCATCACGCGGAGCCTCCAGGCACTGGGCCCGAGAGGGCCAGGCGTGTGCCCAGCTCCCCAGTGAGCTTGGAATAGGAACTCTAAGCCAGCTTCCAGTCCACGCACAAGGAGCGGGAGGAGTGGGGGGCCTGGGCTGCCCCTAGGTCGTCCGTGGCCTGCGCTTCTCTGTGGCAGTCTGGGATCAGACCTTCTGGCCCGAAGAGTCCAACCAGAACCCCCCACTCTGCCAAAAAGCTCTGGATGCCAGCCTGGCAACAACGCCCTCTGGGAGCTCAGGCTTGCGGGAGGGCTTCCCGGGGCTCCCTGGGAAGGTTTACTTATGTGTCTTGTTCTATTTATTGGAGGGGCAGCATAGTGCAATGGGAGAATGCTCAGGATTTCAAGAGCCTAGAAGTTCTAGTTCGACCCCACTGCTTCTCGCTGTGTGACCTTGGGAAAGTCACTGTCCTTGTCCGTTTCATCTGTAAAACCAGAAACCAGTGCCTGACTATCTCGCTCCTGGGGGCCTGAGGCTCTGCTGAGGCAGAGGTGTGCATGTACCTCCGACACAGCTTTGTAAACGAGTGATGTCATTGTTATTATAGTAAATTGTCGGGACCACAGGAATCATGTGAAACCGGTCAGATTTCTGGTGACATGGCAGCTGGCGCCAGACTGACGCTATTGGTAACTGAGGTTGGTAAGATGGGAGATGCTGTCCTAAGTGCCCAGCACTCGGGCACATCAGACAGACCTGGGAACAAAGTCCTTTGCTAACATTTATTGCCTGTGACCGTGAGCAAATTATGGAAACTTTCTACGTTCCAGTTTCCTCATCTGTAACCTTGAGTAATTCTTCCTCCCGGGGAAGCCACGCAGTTTACACAAGGTCACATATAAAGCGTTTCCCATGGTCCGGGCACGTGTATAGCTCGCCTGCACTGGCCTTTAAGGCTGAGAGGGAAATGGATAGTTTTTCTTGGGAAGGGGTGAAATGCATGCAGCTTCTTGCAGAGGCTGAAAGGAAGTGGTGGACAGTGTAAAATGTTTTGTGTGGAAGTTCTGACAATTGGGAAGGGGGTCCTGGAAGCCGCTCCCTTCCGGACCACAGCCAAGCAGACCCCTGGAGCGCTGCCACCTGCTTCCCTGGACCTGGGGTGCGTCTAGGGGGTTCTCCTAAGTGCGGAAGCGATCTGCATTCCCTTCTAAAAGCAGCCTGCTCCTTCCCCGAAAAGCCACACGTGTGTGGTTTTGAATCCTTCCCGCCCCCCCCCC